TATTGGAGGTAATTGGCAGTAGGCGGTCTCTCAAGTACCCAGGTCCAATACCATGAAGGGCTTTATAAGTGACGACTAGCGCCTTGAAGTGTATCTAGTTTGTTTTTTTGCTTTTTTAAAGGAAATGTTGGGACACTTATGTGCCAGAATATTAACAAGGCAAGAGGGAGATCAGCAGATCACAGCTGATCCTAGCTTGCTCTGTTGCCTGCAAGTGTGGACGTACTTTATAAGACTTTTGTTTTTAATTGCAATTTTCAGTGGAATCTTCTCTGCTTCCTAGATATTCAATGCTAGCAAGGAGATGGAAGATGCACCCAAGTATCCCCTTGTACGGATATTTTCCACTGCCCTTATTCAATCAGAAGTGGAACTGCAAGACCTTGGAGACATCAACTTGCAGTGGTCCATTCCAACCCCCAGTAAGCCTGACTTAAGTCAAACGTCTAGCAAGAAATCAGCAGCATCAATAAGATATTTTTCATGTTATGATTGATTGGTGGGCTGAGAATGGGCCATTTTAGTTGGATAATGGCAGCTTGGCCAATATAACATATTTGGAGGAACATCAAGTATCGGAAGGCCAAATGGTGTGAGGGTTAGGCTTAATGGTTTGAATGGGTCCTTCATACTTGATCTTTTTACAATGCATATTTTCTAATAAATTTAAGGTTATAGTTGTATTATTTACGCAGCATCAAAATGTTATAAACTTTCAGAAAAATATTCCATTACACAGGAAACCTAGGCCATGGAGACTTCAGCTACTTTTCTGCAGTATGTTGGCTATTTGGCCGATATTTGTTCGAGAAACTCAAGTACCCTATAGGGCTGATACATAGCTCCTGGGGAGGGACTCCGATTGAAGCCTGGTCCTCCAAGAAGACCTTGATTGAATGTGGTCTGTTAGAGTATATTGAAAGGTAAGGAAAACTATGTCTGTTTTTTAATTAAACTGAGACTTTTCATCCTAGAAAATGAGTTTGCCTATTGGCTGAGCCATGGGTTATTTCACTGTGATTTATCTCCCAATTGGCCAAGGTTCTGTTCACATGCTCTGCTATAAACCTCGCTTTGCAAACCATCCTTGACTGTGTTTGCGCATGACATTAGGGCTTAAAATCACCACTATGGCTTAATACTCGGAAAAAGTTGTATGACTCTACAATCTCCTAATGATTTTTCTCGGTGTAACTACAACACTTTTCCATTCTAGTAGTTTACTGCTTAATTCAGGACGAGTCCAATGAAATTAAAAACCATCTTGGTTGCAGTGAAAAAATGTAATCATTCATTTCAACCCATACCAGTTAAAGGGACCAGTTTTCCTCATAACAAATTAGAGGAGTGTATGAAAGGAACCCATGTTAATGTGTCTCATTCCTCCAACCCTACAATCTTTGAGTGCTATGATTCTGTGTGTGTGTGTGTGTGTGTGTGAAATATATATACACACACACACACACATATATGTTGTATTTATATATATATATATCAGCACAATACAACACACACACACACACATATATGTATATATATATATATACACACACACACACACACACACACACACACACACACACACACACGCTTCCATGTCT